TTACTGTAGAGATGAGGTCTCGCTGCCCAGGCGGGTCTCGAACCCACGGGCTCAGGCAATCCACTCACCTCAGCCTCCCAAAGGCGCGGGATTACAGGCTGAGCCACCGAGCCCGGCTCAGACTTCTTTTTATCCTAATTAGTAGAAATCAGTACACTAGAAATCAGAAGTTGATATGCAATAAACCAAAGCAGACTAATGCTAGGTACTGTCTGAATGCTTTACACACTAACTCATTTAATCTCACAACCCTATGAGGTTTCACAGATGAGGAAACTGAGACACAGACTGGTGAAGTGACTTGTCAAAGAATACACAGCAAGTGGTAGGGCAAGGATTCAAACCCAGGCATTCAGGATCCATGCCTGTGTTTTTGCCATATTATATTGCTTCTCCATGTTTGGAAAAGTAATCAGTATTTTCAAGTGAAGCTTCTCTGAACTTTGTCAAAACAAGATTAATCTGCTCCTCCTGACTGAATGTTCTTCCAATCCCCATTGCTCATGCCTTTGCCCAGTTACCTCCTACTTATGGTTCAGATCTCAAGTTAAATGTCATTTCCTCAGAAACTTCTCAACCATTCATCCCGGGTCGGATCCTCTAGTCACATGTCTTCTATCTCAATTTACCATGGCCTTGAGCTTCTAGGCTCAGGTGACCCTTCTGCCTCAGCTTCTGGAGTAGCTGGGACTGCAGGCACATGCCACCATGTCTGGCTTTTTTTTTTTGGAGACATGAGGTCTCACCGTGTTGCCTAGGCTGGTCCTGAACTCCTGGGCTCAAGTGATCTTCCTGCCTTGGCCTTTCAAAATCCTGGAATTACAGGCATAAGCCACCAAGCCCAGCCACCATACCCCTTAACAGTACTATTTACCTCTTCCTTGGGGCATTTGTCACAGTGTCTGATTATCTATTTATTTGTGTGCTCACTTAATTAAGGTGCTACTCTCCATCCCCACCCTCAAGACTATAATCTCCATGAGGCCAAGCACAGTACCTATGTGTCACTATACATCCAGTGTCAACATGGTGTGAGACACAGGGACCCACTTAGTAACTGTAAGGTCAGAGGTACCGGGAGGGCGGGGCGGGCCTCGCCTCAACAAGATGGCTCCAACCGGGACCAGGCCGGAACTAAGACTGTCCCAACCAATGATCGCTCTCCCCAATCCCCCTCACAGCTTTCTCAGCGTGCCCTTTATAAACCTGTTGCCCATCTTGCTGGGGGCGACTTCTCTGGCCCACAGCTGTAAGGACCAGTGAACCTTGCCCGGGATTGCGCTAATAAATTTTTCTTGGCTCCTTTGTTGCCGTTTCGCCTGGTTTGGTTTCGTTTACCTTACAGTAACTACTTGTCAAATTAGTTAATAACACTTTGTACATTTACCAGGAACACTAGTCAAGTTTAAATTTCCTAGTTGGCAAATATTTGGAAAATTTCTATCTACCTACCTATTTATATACAAATAGATACAGACATACGCAAATTCTAAATTTTATATATACATATATATCTGAATAACAAAATTCTGATTTCATATATATAGATAAATAAAATGAATCTCAGTTTTTAAAGACCCAATCATAGCATTCAGAAGCACTTGATAATAGACACTATTTAAATTCTCAACATCTACCCTGCTTCCTTCTCTTTCCAGATACTTAATCAGTAGATGTTCTTGAAATAATTCTGTGTAGTACATTATCTCATATGTTGGCCAAATGTTTTGACCTGAGCTCATGGCTCTTTTACAATATAACTCCTAGCAAATATCTTCTATCACTCCTGGAAAGCTGTAACTATCAAGATCTTCTTTCCTATTATTAACAGTGTAGGGGATTTTAAAATGAGCAAATGATTTGGACACGTATCTCTCAGAAAAAGATACACAAATGGTTGAAAATGTATATTCAAAAATGTTCAGGCCAGGTGTGGTGGCTCAAGCCTATAATCCCTACACATTGGGAGGCCAAGGTTAGAGGATCACTTGAGCCCAGGAGTTTAAGACCGGCCCAGACAACATAGCAAGACCTTGACTCTATTTAAAAAAAGAAAAAAGAAATGGAAAGGAAAAGAAAAAATATTCAACATGAGTAATCATCAGGGAACTGCAAATCAAAACCACAATGTGGTATCATTTCACTCCAGTTAGGATGGCTATTATCAAAAAGACCAAAAATAACAAATGCTGGCTAAGGTGTGGAGAAAAGGGAACTCTTATACACTGTTGGCAGGAATGTAAACTAGCACAACCACTATGGAAAACAGTATGGAGATTTCTCAAAAAACTATAAATAGAACTACCATATGATCCAGCAATCCCACTACTAGGCATTTATCCAAAGGAAAGTGGACATCTGCACTCTCACGTTTATTGCAGCACTTTTCACAATAGCCAAGACATGAAATCAACCCAAGTGTCCAACAGATGAATAGATAAGGAAAATGTGGTATATACACAATGGAATGCTATTCAGCTGTTAAAATCTCAACATTCTCAGCAACATGGGTGGAACAGGAAGACAGGCCATTAAGTGGCAAAAACCAGGAACAGAAAGTGAAACACCATATGTTCTTTTTTTGTTTGTTTGTTTTTGTTGTTGTTGTTTTGAATTGGAGTTTCACTCTGTCACCCAGACTAGAGTGCAGTGGCCGCTCTCGGCCACCGCAGTCTCAACCTGCTGGGTTCCGGCGATCCTTCCACCTCAGTCTTCCAAGTAACTGGAACTACAGGCGTGTGCTACCACGCCTGGCTAATTTTTTGATTTATTGTAGAGATGAGGTCTGGCCAAGTTGCCCAGGCAGGCTCAGGTAATCCACTCACCTCTGCCTCCCAAAGTGTGGGATTACAAGCTGAGCCACCGAGCCCAGCTCACATGTTCTTATCCATATGCAAAAGCTGAAAAAAAAAGTTGATCTCATGGAAGTGAAAAATAAGCCAGGCTCAGTGGCTCAGCCTGTAATCCTGCGCCTTTGGGAGACTGAGGTGAGTGGATTGCCTGAGCCCGCAGGTTCATGACCCACCTGGGCAGGTGAGACCTCATCTCTACAATAAATCAAAAAATTAGCCGGGCGTGGTAGCGCACGCCTGTAATTCTGGCTACTCGGAAGGCTGAGGCAGAAGGATCGCCGGAGCCCAGCAGGTCGAGGATGTGGTGGCCGGGGGCGGCCACTGCACTCCAGTCTGGGTGACAGAGTGAGACTCCAACTCAAAAAAAAAGTAGAACATGTGATACTAGAAGCTAGGAAGGGTGGGAGAGAAAAGATAGGGAGAGATTTGTCAAAGGAAACAAAATTACAGCTAGACAGGTAGAATAAGTTCTAGTATTCTATACCACTGTAGGATGACTATAGGTAACAACAATGTATAATTCCAAATGGGATGTTGAATGTTCCCAACATAAAGGAATTAAAAAATTTGAGATGATGAATATATTAATTACCCTATTCTGATCACTATACCTTGTATATGTTGAAACATTACTATGTGCCTTGTGAATATGTACAATTGTTATTACCACTATTATTTTGAATCAGAGTCTCACTCTGTTGCCCAGGCTGGAGTGCAGTGGCACAATTACAGCTCACTGCAGCCTTGAACTCCTGAGATCAGGTGATCCTTCTGCTTCTGTCTCCCAAGTAGCTTGGACTACAGGCACACGCCACCATGCCTGGTTAATTAAAAAAATTTTTTTTGTCAATTTCTATTTCTATATTACCCTAACTGATCTCAAACTCCTGAGCTCAAACAACTTTCTCACTTCAGCCTGTCTAAGTACTGGGGTTACAGGTGTGAGCCACCATGCCTGGCCAATATATTCAATTATCATGTGTCCATGTTTTAATAGTTATAAAAAAGTGTAGGGGAATTGTTATACTTGGTATAATTATGACAGGAAAATAACTTTAGGAAAGAGATTCACAACAATGAGACTACCACATAAGATGTGAATGTTACCCCCAAATATTACCATATTATGAGACAAAATAAGAGAGAGCTGCTGTCTCTCTGTCAAAGTGTTTGCTTCTAATAAGGACAACCAACCACAGAGCAATTAGCCAACTGCACAGACTGTCTTTACATAGTCTGCTCCACCTGTCATGCTAAGTCCCTTCAATCTCTCCACACATTGCTGTGGACCTCTGGGCTCTCAGATGTTTTAGATATACAAGTCCACATAACAACTAAGAGGCTTGAACCTCTTAAAATGTGCCTTCATTTTTCCTTTCCAGGCCATTGAATTCAGACTGTAGGTTACATGACTTCTGAAGCACAGTCTGGGTTACATCAGTCAACCCTCTACCTGAATGGGACCATGGAGATCATTCCTACTGCTCCCTCCTTCAGACCAGGTTATACCTAAATCGTTCTGCATCAGTCTTCCCAGCATAAGCGCTGTGCAGAGGGTATAACAAGTATGGACAATAGCCCAACTCTCCCAGGAGGCTTAAATTCCTAACCTCTAAAGGTTAACTATTGGCTTGTGTAGAATGGGAGAAGAAAAACTGTGAACTATAATGATGTGAGAGGATGGATTTGTACATCTGCTTCACTATAGTAACCTTTTCTTACTATCTATGTGTATCCTATAACATGTTTTTTACCTTAAAAATACACAACAAAATTTATTTTTAAATAAAACAAAAATACTCTCTTCTAAAAAGAAAAACAGTAAAGGAAGAATTCTGCCATGAGTTCATAGTCACAGCTCTCCCAAAAGCCACAGGTGGCTTAAAGGCTGAAGCCTTAGCCAGGCATGGTGGCACATGCCTGTAGTTCCAGCTACTTGGAAGGCTGAGGCAGATGGATCGCCTGAACCCAGTAGGTCAAGACTGTGGTGGTCGTGAGCGTGCCACTGCACTCCAACCTGGGAGACAAAGTGAGACTCCAACTCAAAAAAAAAAGCTGAACCCTTATCACAGTCATTGTCATGTACTCTTATTATGAGCAAACCTTGCTCCTTGCTTCTCTGAGGGTCTTAACATAAATTACTCTACACTACAGAAACGAAAGCAACACTCACTAGACTACCTTACTTATGTCAGCCCCCCTGAAGAAATAGAGAGTTCTGCAATTGTGGCCTCACAATCCTAAGGATTGCCAATTAAACCAGCCTTCCTCTGCATGAGAAGCAGCCTTCAGAACCGGCCTACTTCTGAGTTAGAAAAGTTGAAATCATGGCTTAAGGAATGTAAAGCAATTGCTTACCTGAGACAAAGAGTGCCCAGGAGAGGGAACGCATTGAAAACTCCCACAGCTGCAGTTCCTATGCCCGACTGAAGAGACTTCTGTCTACACTCTAGGTCAGGCTCACCACAAACCCAGTGCGTGCCTTCTGAAGTGGTTGTAGAGATGCAAACAGGAACCTCTAAATTAAGGTTCTCGTTTCAGTCATCTGGCCCATTACCCAATTTCTGTTTATACTTTCATTCTAAAAAGAGGTAACAGATCTGACTTACTGAGGTGAGCCTCACACTCCAGACCTCTGCAGATATCATCTCCCCTTCTAGAGTACAGTCTCTCTGAGGTAGGATCTTGAATGGCATCAGGCAGACATTTGCTGAGAAAGAAATCGTCTTCGTGCAAGCAAAGTACAATCAACTTAAGGTTAACACAGAACATTGGGCTCTGTGTTTATGATATAGCACTTCTCTTATATTTTTTCTTAACACAGAGTTGCAATACAGGCAGGCACTCCTCCAGTCCCTGCTTTCAAAGCTATATCTGCCCTGTCCTCCAATTTACCTCCAGTGTAGATTTCCTCTGACTGTGTAACATCAGCATTTCTGGAACACAGGCAGCAATTTATTCCCCTAGAGAACTCCTTGGGTGACTTGGGCATCCTATGTAAGAGCTCAAGGCTTCTTCAAGTCAAGATACCTCACAGTCATAAGTCATCACTTCAAAATAAGTGTTCTCAGTGTACACACCTTCAACCTTGTCTAGACTGGCTTGACTCAAGCAAGGACCATGCTGCATAGTCCTTGAGAAGTGATGTGCTGGAGAGCCAGCAATTTCCACAGCATAGATAATCCCATCATGGCTTCTTTCAAACTGCCAACAGTTTAACAGCTGGCTTGCAAAATTCCTACAAATTTAATATAGGTTGAGTATCCTTTATACAAAATTCTTGGTACCAGAAGTGGTTCAGATTTCAGATTTTTTTGGATTTTGGAATGTTGGTAGAATAGCATCCCTAATCTGAAAATACAAAATGCCTTAGTGAGCATTTCCTTTGAGCATCATGTTGGCACTCAAAAAGTTTTGGATTTTGGAGCATTTCAGCATTTCAGTGGTGTGTGAGCTAGCTTCTGCACACCACTGAATTTATGCAGGCTCTTGCTGGGGTACAGCTCCAACATGACTGGTTGCATGCTGCTGCAAACCGCAGCCTCCCTCCTGTTGCACGTGACAACTCCCACCTTACATGTAGATACTTGGACATCAAAAGGTAGCCTGAAGGTGCAAAGAATTTTATTCACTATGATGCAGTAAATATACCAAGAGTTACAATGTCTGTGCATAGAGACCAAAAGTGTACACCCTCCAGCAAAAAAATAAAAACAAAATGGCAATGAGGTACAACAGTTAATCGTCCAACACTGGAGTCAGAGGAATGGAGCTGCCTTTTCTGTCAGCAAAGTTTCAAGTTGTGCAGTTAAATCAACAGTCTTGGTCCACTCCTTATGGGTCTTCTCACAGTTTCCCTTTAGAACCATAGCTGAGTGAAACAGTAGAACATTTATATTCAGGACTTGGCCTCCAGAATTTTTTTTTAAAACAAAGACACGCAGCCTTCTCTCTTGAAGCACCAGTGCCCAATTCAGGAGCTGCAGAGGACTAAGATGTTCCCCAAGTAGCCTGAAGTAACAGGTCTCATGGAAAGTACAAAGCACTTTATAAATTCACATTTTGCAACAGAATAAAAAGACTGATGCATAAAGTTCCTAAGTTAATGTAACCATAAGTAAAGACTTCAGCAGTCAAAGAAAAGTTCTGAAAGGTTTTTAATCCCTTCTGAATTAACTTCCCTTTCTAGACAAGGTTGGTCTCCACAGGTATGATAAGAACCTATGGAGTAGCAAAAAGAGAAAAAGGATAGCACCTTACAATATATTAAAACAGTGGGTCAAACAAATAAAAACATCTTTTTTTTTTTTTTTTTTTGAGTTGGAGTCTCACTCTGTCATCCAGACTGGAGTGCAGTGGCCGCTCCTGGCCACTGCAGCCTCGACCTGCTGTGCTCTGGTGATCCTTCCGCCTCAGCCTTCCAAGTAACCGGAATTATAGGCATGCGCTACCATGCCCGGCTGATGTTTTGATTTATTGTAGAGATGAGGTCTCGCTGCCCAGGCAAGTCTTGAACCCGCGGGCTCAGGCAATCCACTCACCTCAGCCTCCCAAAGGTGCGGGATTACAGGCTGAGCCACCGAGCCCAGCTTAAAAAAAAAATCTTTATCTTCCTTCCATCCTTAAAGAAGACAGGTGTCTGTACACTGCTTTGTGCTCCTTTGAAGAAAAAAAGCTGTAACCCAAACCCAAGCCTGAAGGAAAATGATAGCAGTCTATGACTGGGATGTTACCACAACCTATAAAGTAAACTAAATTACCGACTTAAGCCCTTACCATGAAGGACTCTATTGTTCAGTCACTTAAAAAAGGAAGGGACTGGTTCAAATCAAGATTAAGGCTACAAAATAGCATGACTGGGTGTTCACAGAGTATCATTTACCTAAAGTGACAAGCATACCACACTGCATTAATCCTCACAGCACACCTGCAAGGAAATCACAAGAAGGCAGAGTCAAAATTGGTTCCTCATTTAATGGGATGTGGCTTTAAATGTGTTCTTGTAACAGCATCTTTCTCAGAGAAATGAGGACCCACAAAAAGTCCCCCTCACAATTAGAACTCTATCTTAAATCACTGAGAACCCAAATTATTTACTCTCATTACTCAAATTGTTTTCCTCTCTCTGTGAATGTATCAGAAATGGTCATGTCAGCTTGGCCTCAGACAACCACATACTTAATAAGTGGCTAAAAAACTGTGAAAATGTAAATATTTAATCCTGTCTTTGCCTCTTCTACTTCTGCATGTGACCAAAGGTAAATCATACTGTAAATCAACTAACTAGATTCTCCAATCTACAGACTAGGTTAACAAAAGAGGCCAGGCCAAATCTTTGAGACAGCTCTAACAACCCAATCTTTAAAAATTACATCTTGGCAACAAAAGAAAGAGAGAGAAAACTGACATTTAAAATAAAGTACAGTCAGCCGGATTTGGTGGCTCAACCTGTAATCCCATGCTTTGGGAGGCTGAGGTGAGTGGATTGCCTGAGCCTGCAGATTCGAGACCCGCACGGGCAACTTGGTGAGACCTCATCTCTATAATAAATAAATAAATAAATTAGCCAGGCGTAGTGGTAGCACACGCCTGTAGTTCCAGCTACTTGGAAGGATGAGGCAGAAGGATCGCCGGAGCCCAGCAGGTCAAGGCTGTGGTGGCCAGGAGCGGCCACTGCACTCCAGTCTGGGTGACAGAGTGAGATTCCAACTAAAAAAAAATAAAAAATAAAAATAAAATAAATAAAATAAAGTACAGTCTATAATGCTATAATATGGTAACCTCCTAAGTCACCTAATGAAGAACCCTGGAAAGGGACCATCCTGTTGAAAAAATAAAAATGAGAGACAAGATAATTGCTGTTTCTCGAAATTGAGAAGCAAACTTTATTACATTGCAGAGGACTACTTAAATATACACTATCATTCCTTCCTGACACATCACACATGTATGTTAGTAGCTTATAGAAAATTCTATATAAATTAAAATGTGAGGCCGGGCTCAGTGGTTCAGCCTGTAATCCCAGCACTTTGGGAGGCTGAGGTGAATGGATTACCTGAGCCCACGGGTTCGAGACCTGCCTGAGCAACTTGGCGAGACCTCATCTCTACAATAAATTTTTAAAAAATTAGCCAGGCATGGTAGCACGCACCTGTAGTTCCAGCTACTTGGAAGGCTGAGGCGGAAGGATCACCGGAGCCCAGCAGGTCGAGGCTGCAGTGGCCGGCAGCGGCCACTGCACTCCAGTCTGGGCAACAGAGTGAGACTCCAACTCAAAAATAAAATAAAATAAATTAAAATGTGAAATAGGTCACTGTAGCAGAATAGAGGAAACTGTTACACAGTATTGAGAAAGCAGAAGGGAAAAGCAAAGGTTATGTACAACCTCATCTCCTCATCTAGAATATTATGCAAAATCAACTTGCAAACACCATAGTTTACTCATAACTGGTGCATTTTAGAAATCAAAAAAGTTTTGAAAAAAATACAGGTGACAAGATTATTTGATTGCAAAGAACTTCTAAAATATTCTATAAGCCCCATTAAAAACCTTTTGAAGAGCTTTTCTTGCCTCTAATCTAAAAAGCCAAGAGGGAAACCACAAATTAGTCAGCTATAACTAAATTAGTCAGTAAATAACAAAGACTCTTTGGCCCAAATTGCACCTAGCAAAACAAAAGAAAAAAATGCTTCTATCTCCCCATTCCTTTCCTTAATTATAAATTGATGGCACTTTATTTAATACTTTAAGCACCCAGTCAAAGCAATGACTCTTGATCCTACCAACTCTAAAGAAAGTAAGGTTATGTGCACACTCCAAGTCATACAAACACCAGTAATGATGAGGTCACCAACCAATGAGTATATGCTTTATATTAACTCACAACTAAAAAATGTACATGAAGCAAAAAACAAAGAATACCTATCCCAAACAAACATTTTGTCTGGTAGTACATCAGCAAAGTACAAGCTCCACTTCATTAAAGAAATTATTTTGACTTCAGCAGCGTGGCACACATTTAGGATTATCCTTCAAATAACTGGAAGAAAACATGTAATCCATTCAAGAGCAAAGGCAAACCACAATGTATCTTTTTGCCCAGGAAAAGAATTTCTTCATTCATTTAGAGCATAACTTATTAAAATGGGAAGTTATGAGTCTCTTCGGAGAGTTTTTGAACAGTTTATAAATACAACGATAATATTTCTTCAATAAATAAAGGGTTCCTGAAGTCTTTACTGATGCCTCCAGGGTCCTCGGTCACTGCTGTCCGGCAGTTCCATTTCTCTGAGAGGCTTTTCCTACTGGTGGAATGGGATGTTTTCCATTATTAGATGACTCTTCTAATATCACGCAGACTTTCATCAATATGCCTCTTCGTAGTCTGAATCCTGGAGGGGAATGATAAGCAGGCTTGTTGTATATGTAAAGTAAAATGCTCCAGTCAAAATTTAGGCAAAAACCATACATTAGGATTCTCCAAATGGAACTTAGTTTGGGGAGACAACAGTGAAAGGCCACACAACACACCCAAGTCACAAGACCTCAAAATAATCAGTGTCTATTGGGCTAATTTCTGCTTTGAAGCCCTAGTTAGTGGTTTCCTTTTCCTTGGTGAATATTTTTTAAAACTTCAACACACAGCTGGGCTCGGTGGCTCAGCCTGTAATCCCGCGCTTTGGGAGGCTGAGGTGAGTGGATTGCCTGAGCCCGTGGGTTCAAGACCCACCTGGGCAATTTGGTGAGACCTCATCTCTACAATAAACCAAAAAATTAGCCGGGCATGGTAGTGGTTCCAGCTACTTGGAAGGCTGAGGTGGAAGGATCGCCGGAGCCCAGCAGGTCGAGGCTGCAGTAGCCGGGAGTGGCCACTGCACTCCAGTCTGGGCAACAGAGTGAGACTCTACCTCAAAAGAAAAAAACAAAAAAACAAAACCTTAACACACAAGAAAGAGTGCTTGTCTGCAGCACAATGTGTAAGATTGGGGTTAGGAATTTAGGCTAGGAGTCAGTCTGCCTCTGAGTTCTGTCTCTTGTTGGCTGTGTGACCTTGGATAAAGTTATTCAATTTCTCTAAACCTCAGTTTTCTCATCTATAAAATGGAGATAATAAAAAACACACTTCATAGAATTGTTATAAGAATTGAATGAGACAATATATGTAAATTACTTAGCACTGTGCCTGGCACTTGGTCAACACTCATTCAAGATTAGCCTTTCTTACCCTTATTCTTATTATTCTTATTATTCAAATTCATATTCATTACTTCTAACTTCAAGTGGCCCATGGTATATCACATTTCTCTAGTCCACACAGTCTCCTGTTCGCCTAGATGAATATTTCACACCTTCTTTCTTTCTCCAAACTTCCAACACCTCCTTTTCCCATCATTCTCAGCTGAAGGCCTTGCTTTTTGCTATCACTGGGAATAGAGAAGCCGTAGGAAGGGAATTTCCACATGCCCATCATCACATTTGCCCTCTCATCTGCATCTGGGTCCATCTACATGGCCTTCCTTACTATTCTTCTGCACTCCTCCTGCCTTTACCTAAGGCCAACATCTCCAACTCAGGCACTAGATCCCAGCATCATCCCAACAATCTTCCCCACTCTCCTGCAGCATCAGTTCTTCCTTCTCTACTAGATTATTCCCACCAACATACAAATGTACTCAATTTCTCCCACCTTAAAAAGAAAAACAGCCAGGTGTGGTGGCTCACACCTATAATCCCAGCACTTTGGGAGGCAGAGACAAGAGGATTGCCTGAGCCCAGGGGTTTGGGCCAGACTGGGCAACTTGGTGAGACCTTGCTCTACAATAAATCAAAAAATTAGCTGACATGGTGGTGTGCACCTGTAGTTCAGCTATTTGGAAGCCTGAGGCGGGAGGATAGCCTGAGCCCAGGAGGCTGGGGAATGAGGTGAGCCGTGATTGCACCATTGTAGTCCAGCCTGGGTGAGAGTGAGACTCCAACTCAAAAAACAAACAAACGAATGGACAAAAAAACCCACAACTCTTGCCACTTCTCTCTACCTACTACTCTCCACTTCTCACAGTAAAACTCCCTAGAAGAGTTGTTCATAGCTATTGTCTCCAATGTATCTTTTTTGCAATCTTTCTTGACCCTATCCCAGTTAGGTTTTCATCCACACTATTCCACTGAAACTCCTTTTGCCAAGGTTACCAATGACATCCATATTACAAATAATCCATTAACCAGTGCTCAGCTCTCATTTTACTTTGCCCAACTCAGCAGCAAATGACACTGTTAATCACTCTTTTTTCCTTGAAGCATCTTCTTCCCTTGGCTCTCTGGAGAGCCAAACTCTCCTGGTTCTCCTCCTACCTCACTGGCCACTCCCTCTCAGCCGCCTTTGTTAATTCCTTTTCATTTCTCCATCATAGAAACCTTGGAGAGCTCCAGGCTCAGTCCTTTGACCTCTCCCCTATCTACACATATTTCCTTGGAGGAAATGTCTCTATCAGCCTCTATCTACTAATGGCTCATAAATTTTTATTTTATTTCATTTTATTTTATTTTAGTTTAGTTTAGTTTAGTTTAGTTGTGGAGAACAAGTGAGGATTTGGCTCCTAAATTGACATATCTGGTCTACACCTTTCTTCTGAACTCCACACCCACAATTGCCTACTCCATGTCTCCACTTGAAAGTTTAATAGGTACTCCAAACTTAGTTGTCCAAACCCAACTTCTGATCTTCCTCCTAAAAATTTGTTCTAACCACAGAGTTCCACATATATGAAAATGGCAACTCTATTCTACCAGTTGCTCAAGTCAAGAATCTTGGAATTACCCTTGACTCCTCTCATTTTTTTATACATACATGCAACAGTAAATCCTTCTGGCTTCACCTTCCATTTATAATCAGAATACAACCACTTCTCACTACCTCTGCCACCACCAGCATCTTCCACCTGGATTACTGTGAATGCCTCCTAATTGGGCTCTCTGATTCCAGCATCTTCCACCTGGATTACTGTGAATGCCTCCTAATTGGGCTCTCTGATTCCATCATTGTTTCTTACCACCCATTTTCAACACAAAAGTCAGAGTAATGCTCTTAAGACACACATTTGTTCCTAGTGCTTCTCTTCTCAAACCTTCCAATAGATTCCATTTCATCAAGAGTAAAAGTCCAGGCTGGGCATGGTGGCTCATGCCTGCAACCCAGCACTTTGAGAGGTCAAGGCGGGAGGATTACTTAAACCAGGAGTTTGAGACCAGCCTAGGCAACATAGCGAGACCTCATCTCTACAAAAAATTTTTTAAAAATTAGCTGCGTATGGTGGCATGCATCTGTAGTCCCAGCTGCTTGGGAAGTTGAGATGGAAGAATCACCTGAAACCAGGAGGCTGAGGCTGTGGTGAACCATGATTGTACCACTGCACGCCAGCCTGGATGACAAAATGAGACCCCGACTCAAAAATAAAATAAAAGAGTAAAAGTCCAAGTCATTACAATAATCTATAAAGTCCTATAATACCTAGATGAAGCATTATCTCTCTGATTTCAACAAATACTATTCTTTGCCTTACCCTCTCCCCATCCCTGCCACACTGCCTTCTTGCTCTTCTAGAAGATACTAATCATGGCCCTGCCTCAGAGCCTTTGCACCTGTCATTTCTTCTGCCTGAAATACTCCTCCACAATAACTATATGGTCTGCTTCTTTTAGGTGTTTGCTCAATTATTATCTCACTGAAGGTGTTTCTATAGATCCTATTTAATATCATCCCACCTCATCCTCCTTTTCTGCTTTATTTTTCTCCATAGCATTAAGTACCATCTAATATACTATACACTTATATAAAAACTTTAGGCTGGATATGGTAGCTCACACCTATAATTCTAGCACTTTGGGAAGCTGAAGAGGAAGGATTGCTTGTGCTAAGAAGTTCAAGACAAGCCTGGGCAACATAGTGAGACCTCATCTCTACAAAAAATCAAAAAGTCAGCCAGGCATAGTGGAACAACATGTAGTCCAAGCTACTTGAGAGGCTGAGGCAGAAAGATCACCTGAGCCCAGGAGATCAAGGTTGTGGTGAACCATGATCGTGCCACTGCACTCCAGCCTAGAAGACAGAGTGAGACTCCAACTCAAAAAAATTTTTTAGTTAGTGCTTGTATCCAAATTTAAGAGAAGGTGACATTTCAGCTGGGTCTTGGCAGATGCGAAAGAGTGTTTTAGGTGAATGACTAGTTCTTTGAGGGTAGGAATTTATGTCAGTTTTGTTTACTGCTGCTTCCCAAATATCTGAAATAGTAAACATAGCACATGTCAGATGCTCAATAAATAACCATTGGCTGAATTAATATCTCAAATGTGGATAATAACCATGTGACACTAACTTATTTTGTGTTATAAGAATATTCAAAACCTCAAGGGTTGCTATGAGGTCCTCTCCATTGGCATTATCTTTCTCTCATCTTGCCTACAATACTCAAATGCACGAGAGGAGAAACAAAGAACATCACAATGGGTAATTGGGCTGAGATCACCTAGCCAAGAGCTGAGCCCTGCAACAGGTACAAAGGGGGCTCAAGTTTAAATTCTGCAGTGACAGGTGTGCTTCATATTAGATCATAAGTTGTTTTTGACCTGTTTCACAGGTGAGACATCTCTCACATCAGAGAGTCTTTCCTCCTCCTAGGATCCTAGAACAGGCACACGAGGCTATTAGTCATAGCAGGTACTCAAAGGGGATTTTGAAATTTAAATCAATCAAAACCTGGGCCTTTCAATGTGGTATTTCTTTTTTGATACAAGACATCAAGTTACCTAAAATGTTACATCACTATCTCCCTGGAAAATACTGAGACTCAGCAGAAAACTTAAATTCAGGGTCTGGGTCAAGCCAATCAAAGTTTCCTAGTACAAATTCAGTGACATTTGACAACCTTTTTTCAGGATTTTCTGTCAGCAGAGACTGCTCTTCATAGCCCCCTCCCTAGCCTAAGAACACCACTCAATGCCCATGAGACAGAAGATAAAATCATGGTTATAATTGGCAGGTGTCCCCTGAGACCAAAATGTTTTGGGGGAAGATGCTGGTTCATACCTTGTTTAGACTTACCCACATATACTCTGCTGCCTCTGAGGGCAAAGGATTGATTCCCTTAAGTAAGCAGGAAAGTAAGACATCAACAATAAACAAAAACAGTGGGGGACTTACCAGGCAGTCAGCACAACGGACACAAAGTCTTGTCATGCACGGATCTTCCTCCTCCTGGTCAGTGCTGTAGAAAGAGGACAAGCCAGATTTGAATCATCATTATCCTCAATATAGTAGAGCAGTTAAAAGTACAGGTATTGAAATCAGACAGGTCTGGTTTTAGATTTCAATTCTGTCACTCACTAGTTGGGTGACAGGAGCCTGTTTCCTCATCTAGGAGCCTGTTTCCTCATCTATGAAATGCATATAATACCACTTACCCTTAAAGTATAGTTGCTAGGACTAAGTAAAAAAATAAACACATGTGAAACACATACCATAGTACCTGGCACATTGTAAGTGCTCAGTAAAAAGGAGTCAGAATCATTTCATTCAGAAATGCACTGGGCACCAACAACATCTGAGCATTGCTAGGCTGGAGAGAAAGAGATCAATAAAACTTGTATCTATGCAAAGCTCACCATTTCAAAGAGGTGAGAGACCTGTTAAAATTTAATAAGTACATTATAAGACAATATGATTAGTGTTTTAACAGAGTTCAGGTCAAACTGTTGTGGCAGCAAAGAGCAGGGAGTAGCTAATTCTCTCCCTGGAGGACTCAGGGGATCTATTTCAGCTGGGTCTTGGAGGATAAGAGAGTTTCCAGGCAAACAAGGGAGGGAAGGAGGGCATTGGGGGGTGGGGGGGAGTGGTGGTGGTGATGGTGGTAGTGGTGGTGTAAGATGTGAATAAGTACAGTATATTTAAGGGGAAATATAAGCCCATCGAAGCTGGAACGTTAGGTGAATGAGAAGGAATGTCAGAAAACAATGTGACTTAAGATTATAAAGGGTTTTATATACTATGCTTATAAATATACATTGGTTTTTTATTTTATTTTAAAGATATAGGGTAGAATTCAGGATTCGGTATATAAGTGGTCAATGCACAGGTGAAGTTTGGGTCTCCTATTGGTCCTCACTTCACCTGGCTCAGGTACCCTTATTGTTATTATGTGCCCCTAACATTAGGATTTTTACCAAGAGTTCTTTACCTTCTTTGGGCCACAGATTCCTTATAAAGGGCACAGGACATTATCTCTCCATTAAATAAATGGATATACACAAATATACATACAGAGAGAGAAAGAAAATTTTGGACCTTCTCAATATACGACTCTCCTTCCCAGGTTAAGAACCCCTGTATAGACAGGAGAGAACCAACAGAGGTTGTATATACATTTTTGTTACAATTTTCTTTTAGTATATTTGTTTTTAAGGAGTATACTGGATCATGCCAGGCAGAATGATGTTTAATAAAACCTTTCGGCCAGGCTTGGTGGCTCAGGCTGTAATCCCAGCACTTTGGGAGGCCGAGGCGAGTGGATTGCCTGAGCCCACGGGTTTGAGACCAACTTGGGCAACTTGGTGAAAGCTTGTCTCTACAATTAAAAAAAAAAAATTAGCTGGGCTTGGTAGCATGTGCCTGTAGTTCCGGCTACTTGGAAGACTGAGGTGGAAGGATTGCTGGAGCCCAGCAGGTTGACGCTGGGGTGGCCATGAATGTGCCACTGCACTCCAGCCTGGGCAACAGAGTAAGACTCCAACTCAAAAAAATAAAATAAAATAAAATAAAATAAATCCTCTCAATAACCACAATCCATTTAGCCCCTCTTCAGAACATATGCTGATCAAGAATAGATCTTGCTTATTCAAACAGTTCTTGCCCTCACAGCTACTCTTAAACAGTGCTCAGGCATTTTCTCAGGAGATATCAGTCAGTGACAAAAAATAAGGAGAAGAGGAAATAACTGACTTGAAATTTCCTTTGATTTTAAAAGAATAAAATCTCTATTCCGAATTCATGTATAGAATCATGGCATTGTACAATCTGATTTCCAAAGCAGAAGACTAGGACAACACTATTAGTTCTTCCAACTCTCTCTGAATTAACGTTCACAAGTTTCATTTTTAACCTTCTTTTTGGTGCTCCTCAGCAGGACTATTCTCACTCAAAATAAATTTCTGCAGCAGAAGTAAACTTGGTCTGGAAGGAAGGTGGGCATGGGTGTTGGGCTCTGGGTACTGCCTAAAAGCAAGGATCTGAGGAGGAAATAGGCTCCCTGCCCAGGGCTCCTGCTGAACTTACTCATCCGAAACCTCAATAGATGACTTCTTATAGCCAGACTTGCTCCGCTTCTTCAGCCTAGCAGCCTTCCTCCCCATTCTCACCAGCAGCAGGACAACTACCACTGCTGAGGGCAGGAAGACAAGGATGGAAAGGAGGGACACCGAGGACAACATGATGCCAAAACCTAGAAGAAGAAAAGAAGATGAACGAGAGATGTGCAAAAATGCCTCCGATGACATGAGCTAGGTTCTCCTTTTGCTCTTAAATTCTTTCTGATTACAAAAGGAATACATTCATTGTGGAAAATGTAGAAAATAACTAAAAGTATAAGAAAGACTAAAAATGTATTCAAAATCCTACAACCTAGAAATAACACCATGCAATCTTCATTCAAAGGGTATTGGGTGTGGGTGTACACAGGGGGTATATTTTTTGAAATAAGGATAATATTTTACATATTGCTAGCCTCCTTTTTTACTTACTGTATAATAAAAACATAAAAATCCCTTCCAGCTGTGATGTTTCACGACTGCATAGCATTCTACCATATTGAATAATGTATTGTATCATTCCTCTAATGCTGGACATTTGAGTTGTTTCAAATTCTTTGAATCTACAAGTCATGTTAGGATAACCATCCTTGTATGTAAATCTCCACATTTAGCTCTATCTCTTTTTTTTTTTTTTTTGAGTTGGAGTCTCACTCTGTCGCCCAGACTGGAGTGCA